GTTTTGATATCATTAAATTATTTTTATTTCTTAAGTTTATATTTAATTTTTTATTTAAACGTTAACATTAAGTATTAAGAATGTAAAAAAAATCAAAAATAAAAATATTAAGTGGCAATTGACTGTAAAAATCCTTAACTTACTAGAAATTTCTGAATTCCTAGATTATGGTTATAATTAAAAAATATCTTTTTGTTAGAATGTAAAAATAAAACTTCACTGTTTTTTTTTTTTTTTAACAAAAACTTTACTGTATTTTAAGTCTGCAGAAATATTATACAGTAAGTAAATTACATGTTTTTTAATCAATTTCATAAATTATTTTGAAAAATTCGAACTTAAGTCTTTGAATATGTGAATATGTAAATATATATATGCACCTATTATATTAAGACAAATACTCATGTACAACTTTCTCATTTAATCTTAAATTTGCATTTTTTTTTCACTTATGCATGCTCTTTATTTTTAAGCTTTTATGTGAGAATGGATATAGAATTTCATCTTTTATTGTGTGTAACATAAACAATAAATTAAAAAAAAATCAATAGATAGCATGAGCATATATGTCCATGGGTCAGATCAAATTAGGTCCGATTGATCTTTAAAATTTTTTGTCCAAAACCTAATTTGATTCATGAAGTCTAACAGACCCGATGATTGTTCCAAAAATACTAAAATATTAAAAAAAATTTATATTAATATTTTATATATTTTTAAAATTAAATGTAAATAAAAAATGATTTTTTATCCATTAAACTAGATTCCAGCTTCAAAACTCATGTCCCATCAGACAGGTTTAGACATGAGCCACTTGGTTAAGAAACATACAATCAAAGACACAAAAAGTCAATTTAATTCACCAGCTTGCAAGAATCAACTCTATATATGTTGAAACATGAGAATTGCTCACAAATGTATGGCAAATTGTCTTCATATTCTGACAACCTAGGAATGTTCTTCACTTTGTTGCAATTTGACTAGTGGATCAACTTCCTTGGTGGGTGTTGAATTTCTAAACAGAATTTATATTAATTGGAATGTCAGATCACTACTTTTGAATCAAGTTGGAATTAATTACAGCCATGCATAGTTAATTATCTTCTTACATCAAAGTAATAATTACTAAAAATAATGAAACATTAGTGGAGAATATATAATCATAACTTAGTTGTTTAAACATTTTTGGTTAAAAAACCTATGAGTTCAAAAATTGTATAAAGTTTGCAATAAATGAGGAGAAAGTGGCATCAATGTCATCATATTTTGCTTGAATATCAAGGGAATCATTTCACTTTTTTTTGTCTGCAAAAAGAAATTAATGTTTTTTTAGCCAATAGTTTTTCTATGTTTTCTAGCTAAGATGATAATAACAAATTAATTAGAGATGTAGCTAATTTTCAAATGTAAAAAAATCAAATTAAATTGATTTAAGGCAATTCACTCATGTAACAACCCTTAAAATATGATATCTAATAGATTTCAAATCAGTAACTCTTTTCCTATTTCTAAATTGCAATCTCTTTTGTAAAATATATATAAACTTTTATTATTAATTGAAGATTAGCCGCTAAGAAAAATTATGAAGATAGGCAAAGCTACAACATGGTATAAGAAGTAAAAGACATGTCATTGATTAATGGGCAGATGTTGATGTAATTAATGAAGAGTTTATAGCTTTTTATGAGATTTAAGTTGTAATGTTACGCTAACAAATTGATTCCTCGAATAAATTGCAGCCATAAATTATCCATTATCACTTTTTAATTACTTTCATTTTCAGTTATGATATATATTAATACTTTTATACTTGTTCCAATAAACTCAATTAAAATTTGAGTTAGAGGTGTCAATTCAAATCTTATAATGAAAAATACGAGATCAATAAAAGGATTATCTCTTGTTATGTTACTTTGGTTATGCTATTTTTTCTGTAATAATCAAATATTAACAGTTGACTATAAACAAATAAATATAATAAAATATACCTAAATATTTAGTTCTATTGATACATAATTCCATCTTAAGCGATATCAAATTTTCACTTTTCTAGATTAAAAGAAAAAAAAAATAATGCATAATAATGTGACACCTAACAAGCTTTTTTTTAATATGTAATTCAATAATTGCTTATTTTTTGTGAATCATTTGAACCAAACCCTCTTCTATGATCCAAAATTCATGACAAAAATCCATTATACTCTTTACATATTAAAGGAGTCTCTTCCTATCCATAAATTAAGAATATGAATCTGATGACTTCAACAAGTACAATTATTAGCTTTGATGTGGTTTGTGCAAAAACAATTGGGGGTTGAAATTAATAATTGAATTTCTAAGTATCATGTTCATGCATGCATGAAAAACTAGAGAGTAGGCATATGCTTTCAAACAAAAATCCAATGTTGTAGCATGTGACAAAAGCTTAACTTCTTTTGCACTTGAAATTGGACATTCATGGGAAAAAAAAAAGTTTCATTCTTCAGCACTTATCCTTAGTTATCCAAAAGGAACCTAAAGGAAATGATATCAAAGAAAATTCCATAACTCATCAAGGAATATATAAATTAGTTATGCCTTGCATATCTACTTTTTGTTTTTTAAATCATCAAAGGATTATGAAAATTAGATTAGTAGTTTCCAATAAAGCAAAAAGATTAATTACATATGTGATACCCCAATTATATTATATTAAACTTTCGATTTAGTACTTAAAATTAAAAAAAAAACAAACAAACAAACAAATTACTGTGTAATCAATATGAAGGTATATATAAATTATTTATGTCTTGCATATCTTCTTTCTTATTTTTTAATTTTTTAATTTTTATTTAAAAAAGAACTACAATCTAAGATTAATATAAAACCCTACACGTGTAAAACAGTTGTTTGATTGTTTAAGAACCTTATCTTGAATTCTAATGTTTATCTAAATTCAATTATAAGTGTTGTTTTTATCAACTTTGAAATTAATGTCAAAGATATCTATGCAACCCAACAATTATTTAGCCTGGGCAAGATTAGGATATTTATTGATAAAGATATCTTCATTCCTCCAATTAGAAATTGTATGAATCCACCATTTCTTAGTTAGTTAGGTCGATGAGATTAACTAAAGGAGAAAATATTGTGGCAACTAATCATTGCTATTCCCTTCTTAATTAATGTCATTATCTAATCACAATCTCTCTATAATATAATTGTCTTAATGTTTTCTCTTTTTGGTATTATTAAAATAAATTACAATTCTATGGCATTTTTTCTTTTTTTAGTTAATAATTGTCCGACTTGAAAATAGTTATGCTAATTATTAAAGCATTTGAAAACTAACTATACAATAATTTAATTAATAAATCTAATTTACTATTTGATATCACAAACTTTCACGTTTATCTTAATTTTAACCTAACTTAAAGAACAAATGTCAATCTTTTAAATGTGTTTATAAAATTAAAATAAAAAAAATTCAACAGATGTATCATATAATAATATTTGAGTCAATATGCTAATTTTAATATGAATAAATTAACTTTTTTATTTTAAAATCATTTAATATTATACATAAATCTCACAATTTAAAATACGATATAATGACACGATACAAACACAACATGAATATAGGATACGAAAGTAATACGACTTAAAATTTTAACAATAATTATACATAAATTTAATAAAACTAAAAAAATATTTTATATATTTTTATATCGAAACGAATTATAACACGTAATTTTCGTGTAAAACAAGATATAACTATATGAATTTCAATATTATACATGACATGAATACATGAACGATCAGATCTAATTATACATGTCCAAGTTGAAAGAAATCAAAATCTAACACGTTCTCAATGGTTCTACATATATTCGGTCCTTAATTCTTCAAAGATTTGTGGAGAAGATGGATAGATTGCTGTGATATCTTCATCGCATGGCATAAAGTATCTTCAATGATTCTGCTGGACATATATTCTGTCTTTATTTCTTCAAAAGATTTGTTGAGAAGATTATAGTTAGATTGCTGTAATATCCTCACTGCATGGCATAAGGTATCTTCAATGATTCTGATGAGCTGAAAAAAAAAATGTTCAAAAGAGTAACAAAAGCATATTTTATAGGATAATTTTTTTAAAATAATTTAATAAATAATTTAATTAATTAATTAATGAAATTCAATATGAAGATTAATAATATATATATAAATTATTAAAAATATTATTTATAATTAAATTTTGATCGATATTTATTTGATCCATTGATTTTAATTTTCAATTTAAATTTTTGTTTGATCGTTTTAGGTAAAAAATTTCATAAATTTTACTTAAAAAACATCTTATAAATCTTTTCTTACTTTATAACATCAACTTGAGCCCAACCAACCTTATCCATTTTATCACATTGAAACAACAGCTAAGATTTCACGAAATTTGAAACTTAATTTAATCAGTTTAATTATTTTTAAAAGTAACATTCAGTAAATTTTGAGTTCGAATTTTAATATCTAAAACTCATTTTTTTATTTCTAAGTTACAACTTTTCATATAAAAAAATAAAAATAAAAATATATATTACTTTCAATATATTTTTTTAAAAATTAAATTTAAGTATTTTTTATAAAATTGTATAACAAAATAATATTATAAATGAGATCCATGTTAAATTAATAGATTTAAATAGGTGACTTGATTTTACTAAAGAACAAAAGCAAATACACCCTTTTCTCTTATTTTTTTGTACTTTATTATTTTAAATAAAAAATTAAATTAAATGAAAGAGTAAATTGTCAAACAATTGTGATTTATAGATAAAAATGTTAGGGTTTTAATAAGATTCAATTTTTTATAACTTTAAATATTATAAAAAAGAGAAAATATTAAATCGAGTAATGGAGATGTTTTGATATTCAAAAACTCAACTAGAGCAATATTTTCAATATATATATATATATATATATATATATATAACATAGAAAAACCTTTAAAATTTTTTTTCTTTGTCTCTTTCTCTTTATTCTCTATCAAAATCCCAACAATCCAAAACACCAAAAGTCAAAGAAATACGCCAGGAAACACATGGCAAGCAAAGGTTGGATTTGAGGCAAAAGAAATATCCACTTGGGTGTTGACTGGTGCATCCTTGTGCCAAAAAACAGACACAAAAGGAATAGCTTCACATGGGTTTTTAGCCTTGGTTTTTCCTTGACTCCTGAAGACTTTCAACTCTTTCTTGGGCCTATAAATAGCTTAGACAGATTGCCAACAAACGATATCTCCTCAAATCAACATTCTTCACGTGCTCTCTCTTTCTGTAGCTTTCTCGTTCTGTTTTGCTTTGCTATCCATTGCTGCTCTATCTGCCTTCTTTAGTCTATCTGTTTGTTTTTTTATCCACTGCAAGCATCCTTTTTGTTTGGTTTTTTTTAGGGTCGTTTCTGTTAAGATCTATCAAAGTAGTTTTGTTCGTTGGTTGACAAAGAAAGCTTTTAAGAAAAACAAAACAAAAAAAAAAGTTTTACTTTTTCTGGTATGGAAAACAAAAGGCAAGTGAGTGGTTCTTCTTCTTCTTCTTCTTCATCATCATCATCATCTGTTTCTTTGGATCATCTCTTTGGTCCCAAGGACTCTTCTTCTTCTTCTTCATCCACAAGTGGGATTTTTGACACCATTTTCCCTCCTCCATCAACGGTAAAAAAGAAAAAAAACCTGGTTTTAGACATTTTTCTCATCAATTTGTATTCATAAATGATACAACCTTGTTGATTTTTTATGGTTTAAAATGAAAAAAAAAAAAGAAAATTCCGTTTACTCTTTAGGCAACTATGTACTTGAAAATATATGAAATTTTGGTACTGAGAGGTAATTCTTGATTGGAAGTTAAGAAGTTGATGTATGTATAGGATAAAGATGGTTTATTGTTTAATTAGTTTGTACATTTCTTTCTAACTTCATGGAATTGGCTTTGAATGATGATCAAAAGTTGATGTGATTTATATTTTTAAGTGAATGATTCTTGAAAAGATGCAGAGAGAAGCTTATATATAATACACTAAAGTCTGTTCATCAAGTGCTTGTTGTAACCTTTTTTTATGATTCACTTGGTCGGTAGATATACTAGCTAGTGGAGTATACTCATTTTTCTTTTGAATATTTTAACTTTTCTAAGTGATTTGCATCATTGATGAAAGAGAAGGGATATTGGAAGTGAAGGAGAAGAAAGAAAATGTAGGCTGATTAGTATATTCCAATAGTTGCTAGAATTAGTGCTTTTGGATTAGACTGTGCAATAGAACTTGACCCTGGTGACTGGTAACTATGCATAGCTTTTCTTTATTGTGATTATCCTTCTTTTTGTTCGAATTTTTATAGATTTTGCTGGTTGTTTTAAATGGAATTGTGCTGCAATGGTCTGAATTGTTCTCTTTCTGATTTCAGGTGCTAGGGAGGGACTCCAGTCACTCTGGAATGATGGGGTCATGGAATAATCAGGGTTTGCCCCATCATGGCAAATATGGAAATCCAGGTTTGTCATGCCTTGTTGCTTTTGTCATTGCCTTTTGTGCTGGTTCTTTGATGAGTAGCAGGAAACCTTGAGTTCTTTTAATTTGATAAAAACAAACTATATGAAGTTGCTTTTACTGGATTCTCAAGCAACTGATGACATGAGAAAGCTGGATGAGAGAATGTAATGTGAATCCTTCACATTTTTGTTTCAGATCACACCACTGATAGCAAGGGACAAAGCAGTGGCACAACTAACAAAGACACGAGTTCGTCCGTTTATCATAGTGAAACAGTGGAACCTTGCAATCTCAGCTCATCTATCTACTATGGAGGCCAAGAAAATTATTCTCCAAGGAAGAAGACCACTGAGTCTCCCCATTATGTAACTATAACACAAATTACAATATTCCTTAATAAACACTTTTTATAGGTCCTGCATCTTGCTTTCTCTACATGCTAACTACCAGGGATTTCTCTGTTCTTGGTCTTTTGTTTTGACAGTTCAAGAAGGATGGGGGAGATGATGATCCCAACGGAAACAATTCTGGTGGTGCTTCAAGAGGGAATTGGTGGCAAGGTATGAAAGCTGTGGATTTTTGTTGATAAACAAAATACTCTTCACTGTCCATAAAAATTATAGAATTGAACAATCTTTAATCAATTTATTCTTTGTTTGTACAGGCTCACTTTATTACTAACATCTTAATCCAAAATAATGCAAACTTTCCATCCCAATACTGTAAGGTATATGTTAAAAATTTCCTGATGGATCTCCTTTTTGCTTTATCTGTATATATATGCACCCTTCTGTTTTACATTTTTTTTTCTACATTCACCACTTTGAAAATTTATTCATAGAGGATTCAACTGACAAGGAAAAGAAATCACCCCACCTTATTTGTGCTTGACTTTTATGCATATGCCTGTTACAGGCCAAACAAAAATATAGCAATAATAATAACAGTTAAAAAACACAGGAACCAATTTTCTTTTATGTTCTTGGCATAATATTTCTTCTTATAGTCTAGCATACTTCCATATTTCTTTGATCAAGCTGATTGAAATTATATCTGTGGACTATTTTGCAGGAACACTAGCAGCATAATTAATCGTAGTATTACTATGGAAATAAGCTGGTAGATAGCTAGCAATACAGTAGAAGCATATAGAGCATAACACAGCTTAGGACTTTGAGGAAGAATGTTGACCCTGTAAGCTGTTATATTTAGGGCAGACAGCTCGGAGCACGCTGGAATCATGTATTATACGTTTATCTACTTTTCTTTTGCCTGACTAATCTAATCTTCTTGTTCTGAACTATGCTCTGTGGGATTTTTCCCACAAGAAAATGGATTACTATAACTATATATTGACATATATAGTATACCCTTCTCTCATCTTGATTTCACTTTCAAGATTGGATGCATTTTAGCATCTTATATACAATGAATGATCACAAAGAGAAGTTATATGTTGCCAACAGTCATGTGATCTGTAGTTCGGTGACTGGATTCAATTTCTGGTTTCCATATTCTGGTTTATTTTATAGGAATCATGCAAGATATGGGTTTCAAGAATTCCATTTATTGAGGAGAGGTTTTTGAGCTTTGAGCAGTAAGAAAATACTTGAAGTTATCGAAAGATTACTGAACACAATCTTTTATGTATCATTCAAATACATCACCAGGAACCATGATTTGTGCCTTCATGCTCAAGGCAGAGTGTAATCTGCAAAATGTAAGAAGCAATTTCAAGAGATGCAAATGAAGAAGGAAAATGAGAGTCAAACTTGGTGAATCTTGTAAAAGCAGAGGAAAAATGGATAAAGAGTCTGTAAATAATACTGTAAAAATAAAATATACCTCCACATTTGTAACCCATGGGACGATCTGCAATGTTGCAGCGTTTAGGAATGGTCACAGCAACTTCTGGCTTGATTCCAGAACTCTTAGCTGTGTTAGAAAGCATAACAGCACAGAGACATCTTGGATTCTGGCCTATTTTCCTCACCTGTTGGCAGCAACTGTCACACACTTGAGCATTCAAATCTTGTGCTGCCATTGCACAAGGAGCCAACTTCCAGGCTTCACTGTCAGGGGATGATCTCCCACATTCACCAGCTCCTTCTGCTACATTGAGCTCAGCAATGCCAAAAATAGCAAGAAACACCAAAAAGCAGATGCACTTCATTTCTTCAATATTGCAATGCATAAACACTTCTCAACTTCAAAATTTATAGTAAAACCAATCAACTAAAAACGTTTTTAATGAGTAATACATATGAAACCCACAAATCGTAGTGGATGTAGCACTAGAGAAAAGTGTTTTTGTTTATTGCAGCACCTACTACTCCAATGGCGGTTAGTGCCTGCTAAAGCCATTACTGTAATTCCACTACTTCTTTATCCTGAAGGGGCAAAAAAGAACCTTTTCATGAGAAGCTGACAGCATAGCATCTAACAAGTTCGACTTCTATCTACATATCCATTACCCTCTCTCTCTAGAGTCAAAGGAGATCGCAAATATGGGAATATTAGAATTGAACACCAGACTTGCTGGATATTGTCTCTTATGAATGACTGCATGTACAAATTAAAACTCGGGGAATCAGATAATCAATGTTCCTTGTAAAAGTCCTCCTGGCAACAATTCGTGTGAAGTTCATTGGCTTAATGAAAGAGTTCCTTACAAGATAAAGAGAATAAATGAATGGTATATGTCGACAGTTCTATTGCTTTTACTCCTAGTGCCAATCCAAAATTCTAAATTCTCTCTTTTCCTAGTCGGCTAACCCTCATCTCTTTTTTTATTTTTTAATCATTTCTTCCACAGAGCTAGCTACCCAAATTCTTCTCCTCACCAATATTATAGGATATCGGTCTGTGGCATGTTGTCTTGCTTTATAAATTCCAAATACACCAGATAAACATTGCTTGTAGTTAACCACTATTTACTAGTAAAAAGCCAGTGAACTGCACCCGAATCATTTCATTATCTGAGAATTTAGTTCAATGATTGATGTATCATCACTTGATGTATCAATCGCTGTTCAATAAGCAAAGTTTGAATTCCCATCCCCGAATTTAAAAAAAAAAAAAACCAGTGAATTCTTAGTGGACCACTTGCATGATTCACTTTCATGGCAGAACCAAGCTGGTCTACTCTATTTGTTGAATCACCAGCTGTCTCCTTCCTTGCAAACTGCCAACTCATATCGTTTAGGATATGCGATCTTAGCTCACTTGAATATGAAACATCCTAAAAGCCTCATTACTTTCAACAACATCATATAAAAGTCAATGATATCAGTTAGATTGCCTTCAACTCAGTGACCCCTCTCCATTATTGATGCCTATGAACAGCCATAAATTGGAAGAAAATGGTTATGGAGCAAACAAGCAATATGTTTTGCAAGAAAACTAACCTTTTATTAGTATTTATTAAAGGAACGAACTATACTTCGTTTATTCAGAAGATCCAAACCTGCAGTTTTATTTTTCACTCAAACAGCTTGGATGTCACAGTGGAAACTCATCAAACTATGATTGACCTAGGCAACAAGAAACAAACCATGGGAAGGCACAGGACGACGAACAATGGGAGGCCTTCACACTTAAAGGAGAGGGAAAACTGCAAGAAATAAACAATAGCTTCATGAGAATGGAACTAACACTAGCAGCATTATATAAAAGCAAGGGAGAAAAGGTGTAACCAAGAACACATTATGTAATATGCGAATTCTACCTCCACACTTGTGACCGACAGGACGAACAGCAATGTTGCAACGTTTTGGAATGGTCACGGCAACTTCTGGCTTGATTCCAGCGTTGTATGCTGAATGTGCAAACATAATAGCACAGAGGCAGCTTGGATTCTTGAGCTTTTTCTCCATTACAGTGCAGCAACGGTTGGAAACTGGAGCTTTCACATCTTGGGCTGCCTTTGTACAAGGTGCCAGCTTCTCAGCTTCCTTCTCAATGTTATGTTTCCCACATGGACCATAATCATCATGTCCTTCCACTCCATTGAACCAGCAATGGTCATTATCACAAGAAACGCTAGAATACAGATGTACTTCATTGGAGCTTCCATTTCTTCAACAAGTTGTGCTGAAAGAAAGATGCTTCTCAACAATTTATGCTGAAACAAATAGCTAAAAAATATCCAAATACATGTGAATTCCACCATTACAATGGATGTGGAACTAAAGAAAAGTCTTTTATCAGCTGCAGCACCTACTATTCCAGAACATCGATTCAGAGTTACCTGACCATCAAAGGTCAACAATTACATCTTGTTTCTCTGGAATCTCTTCCAAACGACCTTATTAAACCCATCCACAGTTTAAACATTCATGGAAACCAGAATCAAGAAATGCAAGCCGACATTGATACATCTATAAACAACTAAGGTATCATTTCAAGCTGAACACACAGCATTAGCTTATAAAAACCTAGTATATTGACTACCTTACCTTCTTCTATTCTGCCTTCATAGCATGTTTGTGGGCTGATAAGCTTGTGGTTTTTGGGTCTTTATTCCTGCTACTTTCTCATCTGTAACTCATTAAAACAATGTTCTAAGACTTCAATGCCTGCAGTAACCTCAATAAG